CTTTTCCGTACGCTATTTAAATGTTCACTTAATTTCGATATTAAAATTGGACTTGCACTGCAAACTGGATCACTTACTAGTTCCAATATATCTCTCGCATCTATTTTCAGAAATTCGTATACCTTAGCAATGGTTTCTCGAGTCTAAAACAATAATACGTAAACGTCAACAAGGATATATTTTTTCGTATATAGAATCATAATAAATATTAATTACATCTAAATTTAAAAAATATTTACCTCACTCCTTAAACATTTTCTCCGTGAAGAACTAGACATTTTCGTAAACGACTGTACCCTTAAGAAAAAGCGATAAGAACACGTCTTGCTCGGACGACGACTGCCGCGTTACTGCCACACGAGGCACACGAATGAAAGTTGTATATTTACAAGCCCACGCACACATAGGGCCGCGCGCACAACTGAGTTGAACTATCTATAACCTAATTATTAATTGTTCACATATTATTCTATTAAGTCAAACATTTTTTTTCTTCTGATTTCGAGTTGCCTCTTTTTCATTTTAATAACAATGAATTATTTATAAATAAGCATTATTAACGTATTATTATAATAACGTCAATGTCTCACTTACGACCCTTTGTTGAAAAATAAATTAGCCTTGCCAAATATTGAACCTTTAATGCTAGTGATAGATACTTTTAGGAACAATTAAAACAAACAAAAAAAAAAACATCATACCGAACAGAGCAAAATGTTATCTTGGGGACACATACTTTAAATGATTGTAAAGTGTAAAAAAGGATTTGGTCATACTTTTATATGTTTTAATTCCACTGACCGCAGACCCTTTAGGCCCTTTGTTTTTTTTTCCTGTGCGGAAATCCACTCAGATACCACCCACCGGTGGTTTTGTCGGACCAAAAACCGCACGCTGTCTCGGGTACCAGTTGCCGGGGAACCAGGTGTAAGAGAAGCACTTCGTGATACACGAGTGCCTCCCTGATGCAACTCTAGGGCAAAGTGTTGAACACCGCCAACATCACTTCGCCCCGGGAAATCGCTTCCTCCGCCAGAGCCCTCACGCGCATGATCGCATCTACGGTGGAGTGCCCCCGACGAAAACCGTACTGGTTGTCCGCCAGATCCGGCCCCACTGTGACGAGATGCTTGACGAGGACTCTGGCAATCACTCTTTCGAAGAGTTTGCACACCTTGACAACCAAAACTATGGGCCGTTAGGCGGATGAAAACCAGTTTCCCCGTCTTCCACAATTTCGGAAACTGGCCCCGCTCAAGGCTTGCGCTGAAGAACCCTCTCAGTCGGGGCTCGAGAGCCACGTCATCTAAGGCCAGGATCCACGCTCGGCCTGCTATGCTATCAGGTCCTGGGGCGGTCTTTTTGGCTTTAAGCCGTAGCACCGCCACCCTTAGTTCTGCCCAAGTGACCTCAGGCACGGCGTCTTAATCCAAGCGCCGGAGGAGGAGCAATCTGTGGGTGGCTGTGTTCCACCACTTGCGATGGGAACAGGGAGCCGACAACCCCTGCAAGCAGTTCTGGCCGAAGACACCGGGCCAGCGGCGGGGCTCATGAGCGCATCTTGCCCCTAACCATACGGTAGGGGCGTCCCCACGGATCCGGCTCCAGTGTCTCCAGCAACTCGCGGCGGGGCTCGCTCTTGGCCCGCTTTATTGCTGCCTGAAGGGTCCTCTTGGCAACCCTGTATCCGGCTAATAGCACTGCCTCACGGGTCGCCGCGTCTACGGGGCAGCGATGACTTCTGCGGTACGCAGGCTTGACGAAGCCGTGCGATCTCCGGCGACCACAAGTAGACCCGGCGCCTCGCATTATTGGGCTGAACCCTAGGCATCGCCGCATCGCAGTCGCGGCTCATGGCCACTCGGAACCACTGTGCCTCAGCATCAACGTCGACAGGCCTGTACGGCGCAGGGGCCCAGGCCTGTACGATAGTGGCTTCCAGAAGTAGCTCCCGACCTAACCGCTTGAGTGCCCAACGTGATTAAGGTGGGGTCGGTCTGACTGGCGCACCGCTTGTAGGAGCGGAGACGCAACCCGAATATATCGGTGATCTGAGCCCGTCTCCTCCCCCACAACGACGCGCCAACCCTGAACATGGCGCGCGAGGGCCACGCGAACGAGATATCCACGATCGAGCTGCCCCTCGCCGTCACGAACGTGGCCACGGCCCCCCGGTTTAGGACAACTAGGCCGAATCTTTCGTGTCCTGCCTCTCGGATTCATGCGCCGGGACCGCTTTATCTCCAACCGCCGCCGCTACGCAACCCCGCCCTCTTGCAACCACGGCAAGCGGCGGTGCCGTGCACCAGTGCTGCCGAGCCATCCAAGTCGATTTCTGAGGCAGTCCCGAGAAACCGATGGATATATGGCTCAACGACAGCAGACCCTTTAGGGGCCTAAAGGGTCTGCTGTCGTTGAGCCATATATCCATCGGTTTCTCGGCAACGGTATAAGTAATAGAAGTAACTCAAAACTCATAAAAAAATCAATCCTGTATGTAGAAGAAAGATCAACAAGTTTTGCAATACATTTTTTATCAATGTAATGTCAAGCGCCGAGCAAAACTAAACTACTGTGTAAAGAAGGCGCATCTTGTGGCGTCCATACATGGTCGCAACAAGCTCTAGCGCACATTAAATTAGGCGTGAAACCCCTCAAATTTATTAACAACATAGCTCAATGTTGCACTTTCATTTTTTACTGGGTTTCTTTTCATTTTCTTCATTCTTTTTGAGTCTATTCCGTGTAGTTATGCTCACAGTAGTCCATATTTGATGATACTTCATCAGTGTATCTCCTTAACGGTTAGCATCCCAGACAGCAAAGGTTATCAATTATTGACATGGGGTTTGTAATGTAGATTAATTCCACATAAAAGTTATAAGGAGTTTTTCTTTACATCCAAACTAAATTAATGTGTAAGGTAAAGGCTAAGGCTGAAGTAAATCCGACTAAACTAAAAGTAAAAGGAACTTATTTGTGGTCCCAAATATACCACTGTATATTTATTACTATCCTTTGCCCGCGGCTCCACCCGCGTGTATGTCGGTTATCGCGTTAAAAAGTATCCTATGTTACTCGCTGAAAATGTAGCTTTCCATTGGTGAAAGAATGATTGAAATCGGTTTAGTGGTTGAGGCGTGAAAGCGTAACAAACAAACTCACTTTCACATTTAAAATATAGGTATGAAAGTATGGGGTTTATTGAAAGGTTCGCCACTGGTTCAATTTCCTTTTTTTTTAACCAAAAATAATGTTGCGTTGAAAATCACCATTATAAAATAGTCACTCTTTTTAATTATGATCATATAGTTTAACTGTGTTTGTAGACCAGTGTTTCATATTAAAACAAAAATTCAAATGTAATTAAATTAGGCAAATCGTGACCCTACTGTATTAGAGAGCGTTAAGCAAGTTGTATAAATAAATATTTTTTGTTTGTTAGTTATATAAAGGTCATTAATCATTTTATTTACTACCTAAATTTCTTTTTAGATTTATGTTCTTAGTATTTATTTTCCAACAGCAATTTTATAATAATTTGTCATTATTGAAATATTACTTACCTTCCTTGTAGATATTGTTACTAACCAGAAATGTTATTCTAGATAATTATAATTTATATTATGAATAAATATCAACTGGTAAAGTACCACATCACAGAACATCTGTCACGTGTATCTCACGTCCAGTACAACGTAAATTCATTCATTGTACGGTGTCAATACACCATTGATCTTTGTTTCGATCATTGATCGAAGTTCATGAATAGATTAGGAGGAAAAAAAAGATGCAAAAATATTTTTTTAATAAATAATTGCAAGGCTGTGACAATTCAGACAAACTCAGGGTATTTCTTCCCAAGCAGTACCTTCAAACCTATACATGAACTTCGAGCAATGATGATAAAGATCCTGATTTTGTGTTTGAAATAGGATCCTTATCAAGTTATACTTTAAAATTTGAACGCTTAACGTGTATGCATTTATTTTAAATAACATTTGCATAATTGTTTAGGACTTATGACTACTACGATCATCTGTGCGACAACAGCTCGTATTAAAGAAAAGTGAAAGTGACCATAATTTTATGGAAATGAAAATAAGTGTATATTAAATTTAAAATCGTTTGATTAACAATAATTTTACTTTTTACTGACCTCATCAAATCAATCTGGTTCTGTAGTTAAAAAACTAAATATATAATATTAGTACACTTATGCCAAGTTATTTGGAAGCGTCTATTTAAAAACAAAAACATATTCAATGATAAAACAGTGTAATTATTTAAAACCGTGACTTTTTAATTTTGACATATTTTTTGTTTTTAAGTCCAAAACGTGTGAAACATTTATTGAAATTTATTTTACAAATCCGAGTTACTTAACAACTTAAAATTACATGGCAGGAGTTGAAATTTGTTTTTTTTTATATCAAAATACTTTTTTGCTTGCATTTGGCGTTACACAATGGAACAGGCGGTATCACGAATACCCCACGCCAACCAAGGATAATACATATATTCACGAAATCTTTTCTAATATAAATAACTTACATAATCCATTCCTAAAAGGCCGGCAACGCGCTTTGCAGGTGTTAATGGCCGGTGGTAGTCACTTTTCACCAGGTGACCCGTCTGGTCATTTGCCCCCTCTTCCATAAAAAAAGAAATCCCGCTTCCCTCCCATTCCAGTCACGACATACTTGCAGCTTAACATTTTTTTTTATAATTTTATGTTCCTATAAATATTCAGGTTAAATAAATTAACAGCCAATGATATCGATCGATCCAAGCAATGTTAGATCGGATACCTACACTTTCCAACACCAAAACTTAATTTAAAGAACTTTTGCAGATGCCAATAATAAAATTGAATGGAAAATGTAATTTAGTTGCGATAAATTGAACTCGAACGTCTTATGTTAAGACTTGTTTGATTCCACTCTCGCATCTGAATGATTGAAATAAATACTGAAGAGATTTTATGGTTGGCATTACAGATGCTTGTGCAGGCGCTTTACGACTTCACGCCACAGGAAGCCGGCGAGCTTGAATTTAGACGTGGTGACGTCATTACTGTCACCGACCGCAGTGATCAACATTGGTGGCAGGTGAGCTTATTGCATAATAAATACTTTCTATATATTCTACGGATATACGAAAACTTTCACGTTTTATTTTATATAATTATGTATAAATAAGGGCGTTAAGGCTTTTATGTACATTTTATAAGCTAGGTATATAGAGAAATTTTTAGAGAATCAATTCGTACCCATGCTTCGAACTTTAGCACTCTCTGAGAAATGTAGTTATGTAAAAAAATAAAAAAATCTTAAAAATTTAAATATTTGCCTTTAGAACAGGTCAACAATTTTTTTTTACTGTGTAATCTTTGTTTGTTTGACAGTTTAGTGTGACATTAAATAAATAATATGTGTTGATACTATTTAAACAGTTTGTAAAATACTCAACACAGAAATATGTTTTACAAGTTAAAAGACTAGATTATTTCAAACATGTATGTTACACACCCCTAGTGTAAGCAAACGCTTTTAACACAAGCGTTGACTATTATAAAAAGATTTGCCGTTGTGTTTCGTCAAATCTAGACAGACTTCTAGACTCCCATTAGAAATGTGATTCTGACAAGTTTACTTTTTACCAATTTGTGACATTACTGACCCACTCGTCGTTTAATGGCATGAGAAATGTAAGCAGTAAGATATGATCTGTACGTTCCAGGGCGAGATCGCGCACCGCCGCGGGCTGTTCCCGGCGTCGTACGTGACGGCGTACCACTCATAGTGCCCGCGCGCTCGCCCTTGCCTCGCCACCACCGCGGCGCCGCTCGCTCGACGCCCCGAGCCCCCGCCGGACCTTGATCACACCCTAGCGTTAGCGTATCTATCATCATATCAATAACTCGCGCTAAATATTTACATCGAAATTCAAATTATATAATAGGTAAAGCTGTCGCTGAAAACGTTATAGTTTTCTTGGTTTTACTAGTGCATGTCTTATCGTATTTAGCGATTTTATGCGGTTTTAGATTGTCACGAGAGTTATTGAATGTGTCTAGAGACCGAGTGTCGTCGGTGTCTCGCCCTAATGTTGTTTGATTTTTATAAAATGTTTTGACGAGTATATGGTGCTTAGTGTCATGCAACAGTTTGATTACGATGCTTTTAACATAATATATTGTAACAATAATCTCGCATCGTAATCATATATCTGTCCATTTTACTCGCGTGTTGAAGCTGCCTTGATTTTGCAATGCCGTAATTTGGTAGTACAAAAGTTTGTGTCGTGTTCATCTTATTCATTGTTCTGTGACGAATTTATTGTCCTCTAATTTTTTATATTGTGACAAGCTCTGGATGAGAGTGAATATTTATCCTCGAAAACGTGCCAGAATGTTATTTGTAGTTTTTTTTAAATATACTTTTAGTAATAAAAGGTGAAAGGGATCAACTCAGTTTTGTGCTGACTGCTCCCCCAAGTATATAGATTTTCTTATTTGATGTGATTTTTAAAGTATGACCATTATTTATCCCCGTATTAGTCTTTAATGCTCATTATTGAAATATTTACCATTTATATTTTAGTTAAGTATAATTTTAAGTTCGGATTACGTGAGTTTCGATCTTATTTTTTTAATATATCAGTATATACAGCATTGTATAATTTGGTACAGTAATCATGTAGACTACAAATAGTTTCCTCTAAAAGCTTAGCTCTCGTTAGGTTTATTTATGTTGCGCACAATTGACAAGGCCACGAATATTGTCAGTCTGGAATTATTTTAGATATGGACATTTTAATGATAGGACGGAGTGTATAGTGAGCGATGTATTTTATATAACGATATTATATGTTGTAACACCGCGCTTTTAATAGCTTTGACGTGTTAGTTTGACGCAAATTACGTTACCTGTACGTATATTTACCATTTACCAGTCATAATAGATGAGAATGTCTAAAATGCTTCGTTATTCGATTTAAAAGTAAGGAGACGAGATATTCGCTAGTGACTAACGATAGTCAAAGATCTGGAGTATCACCTGGCACTCGACAGTGTCATTGTACTTAGTTAGCGTTTAACATTTAGTCAAGACTTGAAATTAATAAAAAAAATCTTTGAGTGATCGTTGATCCAATGTAGATATTTATTTTTGTTATTGTATTGTACCCAAAATTACTATATTTATGGAAACATAATTGATAGAATTTTAATCTTAACTGAAGTCGAATCGATGTTATCCGTAGCGCCAATCTTTAGACGTTAAACGGACGTATCTGTAATGTGAGGAGTATGAGTTGACCGTGCATGTTTTATTGTATCGTTTAAACAATTTCCTTTTCATCGAAGCATTTAAACTGTGTGTAATTATAGCATAAGTGTGGTACAGCAAGTAACCGCTCGCACACCCACGCTGTGACTGGCCAGCAGGTGGCGCCGTGTATCGCAGAACACAAGTGCGGTATTATGTGCTTTCATTGCTATACTAGTGACGATTCAATTCGTTAAGGCAAGTTTTCAATAAATCGGAAGTGTTGTAATCTATAATAATCAAATATTTAAATAATTTAAGTTATGATTCTCCAATATTGTGGAAGATGTATAATATTTTTTACTAATAAATTTAATATTATATTTTTTCTTTTATTTTGTATTTATTCACAATCGAGTGACGATTTGCGCAAGATGGCTGGCACGAGCTGGAAGCGAGAAGCCTAAAATCGATCTAAGTGGCGTGCAATGGGAGGTCCAGCAGTGGACTGCGATAGGCTGACGATGATGATGATGGTGATTCATAATCGTCAAAACGATAATGAAAATGTCTCTATAGTTGTTATTTTTAGTACTTACCTGGTCGGCCAAACTGCGATCGACGTTTTTTTAGCAGATGTTTTTTTTCGGGAAAGTAGAACGAAACGACGAATTGGGGCTGTCGAAAATGTTATGTAATGTTATGCTATTTTGTCAGTCCCTGCAACTTATGCATTAGCATATGCACGTTTAATAAGACGTCATTCAGCCATTTTTACGTATTGAAAGAATTTTTTTGTCTTCACCTATAACATGCCTGGCAGACTAGTTGGTATCATAGGCTTTGTGTCAAGTTTTCCTTCTCTTTGCAGTGCTGTTGTCCTGCGTAGTTTGCTGCCTTAGTCGGCTCTTACGACATCAACGGGATGAATAGGGGTGGTGACACTCCGTATTCTTAACCCGTCATGACACGGATATTTGTATGTACTATCCGAACGCCATAACTTGGGACCTGAACGCGGTGACGTCACAGACATGCGTTTGTACATAGTGAAGGCCACTTCGTCTGTGCTATTTTTAATGTAAAAAATAATTTATTTAGCTTTATTTATAGTTTATTACGTTTTTCGTTTTCGAAAATCTCCAACACTTAGATGAGCTTTCTCTCACCACTATGCATGTTTTGCCCTTTTTTTTATGAATTCGGACCGAATACTATCAAGCACATCACTATGAAAACTAGACGCACGATGTAACTTTGTACAAGCGCGCCAAAGAACAAAAAATAATTTTTTTCATATTATTTACAAACCATTTTAAGTTTTGAAACAGAGTTTATTGGAAAATTACTTGATTCTGACATTTTGACATAAAGTTTTATAATAAAGAGGTATTCTAAATCATTCGGCAAATGTGTCGCTCGTGCAAGGTTATATCGATTAATTTAAGAATAATCTGTCAAATCGGTAATAACTCAGCGGCCGTACTATAATGGTGCTAATTTGCTACATTATACTAATCTGTGGTGCTAATTCTGTTGCTCGAAAACTCTAAACTAAAAATTACTTAGTAGTAAAGTCATGTCAAGTATCTACTACGATTTTAGAATACGAAACGTTGTTTGACAGGACTATAAGCCGGTTAATAACGATTTTAACCAAGAGTTTAAATTTGCATTTTTTTTTATTGAAATAATAAACATGAATTTATATTTATTTGATTAAGTATATGATTTTTAACTAAAATAAATTATATGTATAGGTACTGCTTTTAATAACCTCTTTATTTTAAAAACAAAGTCTTAAAACCTATAATCATAAAAATGCTAAACTTTTCATTATTTAAACATAGGTGAGCGGTTCACTTATGTTTGAATATATTTTAATGTTATATGTTTAAAACAATACAAATAATATGCATTAGTAAATATTAGTCGTTGTACTTCATAGCATTAGTTGGATTATGTAATATTTTTTACGTTTGCATTTAATGACTTCATAATCTACAAATGCAGTAGGTACCATCTTTATAGGTTACAGTCGGATAATTAACAGTTATTTACTACATTTTATGGGTAGTTAACCGCAAATTTGGTTAAATAACTGTAGCTAATGCGTTTTTACAACTATAGACAGGACGAAACAAATTTTTTGTGAATTTTATTTTAAAGAGTTTAAGAACAACAGAATTATAGCACCATTATGTGGAAGATTGTTATTAGCAATTTAAGTGTTAATCAGCTGTCTGTATTATATAATATTAGTCTGTAAGGTTTCCGAAAAACTAATAAAAATCTAACAAGAAACTTACACAAAAATAACAATAAAATGCAACAGAGAGTCTAATAACAAAATGTAACAGAAAGTCTAATAACAATAAGATAACAAGATTAACAACAAAATGTAACAGAAAGTCTAATAAAAACAAGATAACAAGATTAACAATAAAATGTAAGCGAAAGTCTAATAAAAACAAGATAAAAAGATTAACAACAAAATGTAGCAGAAAGTGTAATAACAATATTATAACAAGATTAACAACAAAATGTAAGCGAAAGTCTAATAAAAACAAGATAACAAGATTAACAACAAAATGAAACAGAAAGTCTGATAACAAAACGATAATAAGATCAACAACAAAATGTAACAGGAAATCTGATAATAGGAGTGCGTCGTCGTTACGTGACGTAGGCCAGTACGGGAATAATATATTAGAAAAATGGCGTTGCCTACAGTACAAAGAGGGCGCTCGAAGGGAAGTGACAGGGGAGCGGGCGGGGAGTCGCATTCCAGACAAGTCTCAAGTTACGGCGCACGGATAGTGTATGCAACTTACCAATTTCTATATCTATGCTATATATCTATTTGTATAGATATAGAAATTGGTAAGTTGCATACAAGAATTAGTTTTATGTTTATATTTTTGTTGTTTAACTATTACTAAACTCAAGGTAAATATTTAAATACTTTAAAATTTAAACTTAGTTAACCACTGTAAGAATGTTGAATTGAGCTAAAATTCTTAGAAGTTAAACTTAGTTAAGTTTTTGAAAACATAAATAGCACAATATTTATGACAGACGATTTCTTATCATCGCTTTGCAATCAGGGTTGCCTCATCAGTCTAACAAGAAACGGGACAACGACAAAAATATCAGGATTCAAAATTCGTCGTTCGGATGTTCCTACTTTATTAATCTGAAGTTGTCACTTTATGAGATTTTAAAGAATTGACAGTTTCTTCGGAAGGTATTTTCGTATTAAATGAAATAATATATAGACGCTATATAATGGACTGGATGATAATAAGAAATAGGTCATTTTATGGTATCCAAAAAAAAACTGCAATTCTCGATTTAAAAAAATTATTCTAGTCTCTTACAGTTCTACTAGTACAGGCTCTGTCTAGTTTTGGATAAAACTGCCCCTGCGTGAAATGCTCTAAACTTCTAAAGTGTCGTGTCAAAAGAACTAAGTTTCCCTTGGATTACATTATCAACAGACTCAACTTGTCTTAAATAGAAAAGGCGTTTGCT